GGCTCTCTGGGAAAACACAGCTTTGAATGACTTTTTCTCCACCATTTAAGCATCGTGCTGCTCTCGGAATCCTGTGTGGAGCCCACGCTCGGCCCCTCCTGGGCTCCCGGCTGCGGTCTGGCTCCGCTCGGAGCTCTGGGCCGGGGCCAGCGGTGCCCGCGATCCGCGGACAACAGCGCCACCTGGTGTCCCGCGGCCCCGCCCTGGGCCGCCTGCAAACACCCGCCCCCGCGGCCCCCTCCCCAAACTCGGTGTCCCTCCGCCTGGGGGCTACCCCCGTTCCCACCCCGCAGGCCGCCACCTCCACCGAGAGCTCCGGGGCGCTGCGCCTGCCCGGCCCACCTGAGGCTGCCCGCTGCAGGAGGGTCCCTGCCCGTCCCCACGACCCCCCAGCACCCGCTTACCTCCTCCTTCCCCTCTCAGGGCAGCTCCTCCTCCAGGAAGCCCTCAGCATCCCCGCAGACAACCCCCCCACCCCCCTCCCCCAGTGCCTCTTCACCTCTTACCTCCTTCCCGTCCCCACCCCGGACATAACTCACATCTACCCCGGAGGCTGGGCCCGGGGCGGCCTCATTCCTCCCAGTATCCCAGACGCCCCACACCCGGCATGGCCATGACTCCAGTGGCAGCTGGATACGGCCAGCTTAAACCCACCGCAAAGGATCCGTCTCCACAGGCCAGTGAGTTAGGAAACCCTTGGAAACCTTGCAAGGCCATCAAAAGGTTATGTCTGAGGCCATGCTGCTCAAGCCCTCCGTCCTGCAGGTGGGGAAACCGAGGCCCAGGACTGCACACAGTGCAGTTGAGGTGCCCCCCGGGGCCGCTCTGGGCACGTGGGCTCAAAGGAGGGGTATCCAAACCCCGGAAGCACCGTTCTGGGCCTGCGGAGGGGTCGCAGCCCCTGGGGCCCTGCCTTCAGGGGTGGGGAACAGAGCAAGGAGACAGACCCTGTGACTCCCCCCTCCCTCCCGCAGACCCCTGTCACACCCAGACCGCTGGGGCAGGAGCCGGGTGTGCCGCAGGAGGGACGGGGACCGCGCAGAAGGCGGTTAGGGAGGGGGTACTGAAGCAGTGACGGCCAAGTCGAGGTCTGACGGGAGGAGAAGCCGGTCCTGTGACATGCCGAGCGGAGCACGTGCAAGGGCCCCGAGGCGGCCAGGACTGTCCAAGGGTCAGCAAACAGTGCATCAGAGCGGAGGGGAGCAGCGGGGGGGGGGGGGGGGCAAAAAAGGGGGGGGGGGGGGGGGGGGGGGGGGGGGGGGGGGGGGGGGGACAGACATGCGGGCGGTGCCGGGCGAGCAGCATTTGGGGGCCTGAGAGGCCCAGCCGATCCTGAATGCCACCGGGAGCTTCTAGAACGATCAGAGTTTTGTTCTGGGGAGTCGCCCCCGCAACCAATGGCTGCTGTGTGGAGAGGACTCCTGGGGGGACGCGAGGGTGGCAGCGCGCAAGGTGCTGATGTGAGAGAACGGGGGTGGACGAGGGAGGCGGCACAGGGTCTCTCCCCTCAAAGGGGTGGGACGGGAGATGCGACCACAGCGGGGGGCCCTCTGCTTGGAGCAGGGGAGCTCCGGGATGACCGCTGGCACACGCATCCCGGGCCCCAGAGAGCGAGGGGTTAGGAACGCACCCCCAGCTTGGGCCGAGCCCCCATCCTCAGCAGGGGAACGGTGCCCGCACTGCAGAGAACGGCCACCAGGTGGCACGCGGGCCTCACAGATGCTGGGACTGAGGGTGGAGGTCGGTGCTCAGCAGGGAGTGGGCGGGCAGGGGCGGGGTGTGTGGGGGGGTGGTGGCTGCCGGGCAGGGGGCTGCCGGGACTCGGGGGCCGGGACGGCACCACGAAACCTGCGAGGAGACCTGTCTGAACGTGAGAGCACTGACTGGGGAGGGAGGTGCTCCCGGCCAGGCCAAGGGGAGAGTGGAGGCTGGACCAGGGGAGGCCCGAGGCCGCCAGGGTCAGCCCCCACCCCCAGGGCGGTCCTGGGGTGACCCCCCACCAAGGGTCTGGTTTCAGTGGCGATTCCCGGGCCGAGAGTCTATGCGGGCTTCACCCGGCCCATCCCAGCTGCACCCAGAGGCCCTGCATGAGATGCCCAAGGATTTGGCACCCGAACTCAGGACCCTCGGTGCTGATGCAGGGCCCGGGGCGGCAGGGTGCACACAAGGGCGGTCCCTGGGATACTTTACATCTAAAAACCTAAGAGTAAACCTCCCAGCAGAGGAGGAACTGACCCCAGTCACTCAGGGGGCCTTATGGGCTGAACTGTGTCCCCCGCAAATCCCTATGCAGAAGCCCTAACCCCCAAGTCCTCAGGATGTGACTGTATTTGGAGCTGGGCCTTCAAAGAGGTGAGGAAGGTAAAATGAGGTCACTAGGGTGACCCTAACCCCACAGGACTGGGGTCCTTATGAGAAGAGGAGGTCAGGACACAGACACACACAGAGGGACGACCCCGTGAGGACACAGGGAGGAGACGGCTGTCTACACGCCGAGGAGAGAGGCCTCAGGAGGAACCAGCCCTGCCCACACCTGGATCTGGGATTCCAGCCTCCAGGACCAGGAGATAATACATCCTGTCGTTTAAGCCGCCCGGGCTGTGGACTTTGTTACGGCCCCAGGAGACCTACACAGGGGGCGAGCGGCCAACCAGGCCCCTGGGCCCAGCACCACCAGCACTTACATTTGGTAGAACAGCAGCCTTGGAATCTGGGCCCAGCCCGGCAAGGTCTTCCTGGCCCCTTCCAGCCACTGCCTCTTGAACCTCAGTTACCTTGGCCACGAGGAGACCCCAGGAGCAACTCGCAGAGCAGACGTGCTTTGTGCGGTCTGGGCAGGGGCTCAAATCACCCTGTGATAACCCAAAACGCCAGACACCCCCCAACTTTCTCCACTCTCTCCCTGCCCCCCACAGCTCCTCCCCTGCAGTCTGGGAGGTGGGAAGGAGGCCGGCCAGAGGGAAGGACAGTCCCCCGCCTGGGAAGCAGACACACGGCCGGCCAGGGCACCCGGGATGCTCACAGCAGAGAGAAGCACCTCCGGCTCACCCAGAGGGAGATGACCCCTGGCCTGCCCCAGGGCCTGCCCAGAGCAGGGGTTTGGGGACATCTCTCTGCAGGCCAAGAGTAACCGTCATACTGCCCGAGGGCACTTCTGCAAGGAGCTGCGGCCTCTGGGGCCTTGGCACGGACCTGGCTGGCACCCAGGTTACCTCCATAGGTCCTCAGGACCAGGCGAGCGGGGGGAAGCCTCCATGACCCCAAAAGGCCCTCCGTCTTGCTGGGATGGCGGCCGTCCTACTTTTCAAACAAGTCCCTACCTTTATATGAGAAAGTATAACCCAACAGGACAGTAGAAACAAAATGCCGGGACAGTTATCCCGGGAAAGCAAGGACATCCGCCGACACCTCCACAGAGGCAGGAAAGACACCCGAAAGTCAACACCATCACTTTAGAATCATGTCCTCTCATTGGACTTGAAGGACTGCCCCCCCCCCCCGCACACCTCTCTGCCCGGGAGGGCACATTCCTTCAGAGGAAGCACAGGGAGCCCCCTTACCCCTGGCCCGGTAAGCGGAGTGACTGACAGATGCCAGTCTCCACACCTGAACAGCACGCTAGACCAAACCAGGCAGCGGAATTCCAAAGTCAGAAAACTCTAAAGGACCAGAGGAGAAACTCCCGCACACAATAACAAAACAGAGGCCGTCACAGGCTGTACAAGCGACAAGAGCAAAGGCTTTTCCGAGACACCAAAATAGCCTCCAGGAAACGTAATGGAAGAGAAGCTCCCGTCTGTGGCAGCAACTAACAACAACCATTGTCATATTAAACATAATAACAACAACGGTCTAAAAGCCACATCACGAAACCATAAAAGCCTCCTGGGTAGAACAGACACGGCTTGACCATGGACAGAAAGACCCCACCCCAGAGAGATGTCGGTCTCCCCAGATGCATTCATCAAACACCATCGGGTTTTTTCTGGGAGGCAGACAAGCTGATTGTGAAGGTCACTGGGGAGAACAAACAAACAGGAAAGAATTGCCCCTGAAAGAGAAGAGCTGGGCACGGATATTAACCACTTGTTAAAACAGATTTGAGTGCAGACATCAGCAAAGCAGCATGGCTGTGGGAGAGAGGCACGGACAAGCAGCCGTGGACAGAACAGGGAGATCCCAGAGCAGAGCCGCTGGCATCTGGACATCTGGTTCACAACAAAAATGGCTCCTCAAATTGGGGAGCAAAGACACACTTTGGAGTAAGTGGTGCTGGGAGGGGGCAGACGAGAGGGACAGAGCGAGAGCTAATCTGACCTTCACGCCGGGATGTGCCCACTGCCGTCAACAGCTTAAAACCACACGACTAACCCGGACGAGTGCTTGAGGCAGCTGTGGCTGTTTCTCTATAACCTGAGAGGGGGAAACTCCTGTGACCCAAAATCCAGAAACATCAAAGGGAAAGTGGAGCCGACGGCATGCAAATAAAACAGGCACGGCCTCAAGGCCACGTTACGAGGACTTGGGGACCCAAGCTTGCAGCCATCAGTTGGCCAGGGCTGGAGGCAACCTGGCCAGAGGCTGGGGCAGGGGCTGAGACGCCTGCAGGGTCCGAGTACCAGCCAGACCCGGGGCCACGGCGCAGGCCGAGCAGACCACAACCCCGGCTCCTTGTGCCCGCGTCCTCCTGTCCTTCCTTCCTGGCCCAGCTCAGAAGCCCCCTCCTCCAGGAAGCTCTCCCAGACCACCAGGCCCCGGGGTCCTCCCATTCTTTGGCCTTCTCAGCCTGACGGCCACATCCTGGCAGGTTAGGGTGCCAGGGTAGGGCGTCCCCACACCTCTAGTCCCCCAGTATCAGGGCGAGCCTGTAGAGCCAGCCAGCAGGGGGGCTCCGGCAGAGGGGTGTTTTGTGGGTGGGAGAGGCCAGGAGCAGCTGGCTTCACCCCCTGGTCCACACGCCTGGGGGATGAGAGTGCAGGGCCCCTCACGCAGCTACGTACCATCCAGAAGAGGGTCCCCGTGGCCAGGGCGACATACTGCTCGATGGTGGACAGCACGCTGAAGATGAGGCAGACCAGAACAATGAGGAAGCTGCGGGACAGGAGGACACGCAGTCAGCGCCCGCGCCAGGATGCCCTGCCCTCCCCGCTCAGACGCGGCCCAGGCCCGGGGAGTAGGCCCTGCCCTCCCCGGGTCTGAGGGTTCCAAGGGCCGCCAACCCTGACTGCCGACCGTCAACAGTGCACAAAGTGTGGCAAGCCAAAGGCATGTGACGCCACCCGGCCTCGAAGGGATGAGCTCTGACCCAGGCTACGGTCTCTAAGGTGTCCAGGACGGAAATCCACAGAGCAGAGAGCAGCCTGGTGACCTCCGGGGCCAGAGGGGCCTCCTTCGGGGGAGGGGAACGTCCTGCACCTGCACCTGCACGTAGAGGTGGTGGCCGCAGGGCTCTGTGGCCGTCCGGACAACCAGGGCAGCGCGCCCAACACCAGCTCAGGGGTTGCAGCACAGGCGCCAGGAGCGGGCGTCTCCTGCAGCCGCTAACGGGGCGTCACCAGAGCCTGGGCTCCCAGGCGGGAGGCTGCTCTGACGCCTGCCTTCCCCTCCCCATCCCGGGGGTGGGGGTGTGGGGAGGCCAGAGGTGGAGCCCACGGAGCTGAACAAAGGGAAGGCGGCAGCCCCTGCCCCCGGGGCCAGCTCCCAGGCTCAGCCCCCCTCCCACCCCATCCCTGCACAGAGGGGCTGCTCTGATCACACCCGAACCAGTAAGGCTTCCTGAAGGCAGACCCTCGGGCCCTTCCCTCCACGTCCCTGGATGAGACCAGGCCGAGCCCCCAGCCCTCCTCCTGCCTGGGAAGAGGACAACTCTAGCGGGGGCTCCAAGCACTCTCTCCAGGTGGGTCCTCGCATGGCCCCGGGGGTGCAGATGTGGAGACAGCTCTCTGGGCCCACGCCACGGAGCCCTGGCCCTCTCCCCACCGAGATCCTGCTGTCTGCAGTTGCTTTCACCCCCCATCCCCACACGCCTGCCCTGTGCCCACTAGGAAGCCCACTGCAACTCCCCCACTGCCCCACTCCTCCCCACTCCAGCCCACCTTCCCTCCCGGCCCCTCAGAGTCCGCTGAGAACAGGCTGCCCGACACAGACCACACCCCACATTTCCTGGAGGAGACAGGACCCGGGCCGCCCAGATGATCCTCCCTGCCTGGGGAGCCCCCCCCAAGACCCGGCTGCTCTCCCGCAGCTCTCGGGGTTCCCTCTAACAGCTCTCGTCTCCACCTCTCTCCTGGTGCCTCACACAGGCTGGGTCAGCTGGACCCACAGAGCCGGGTCCCAGCCACCCCTCTGCACCCTGCCCCTTCGTCAGCCTTGTCTCTTGTCCTGACCACAGTGCTTGCCTCCACCCTGGGCCCCAGAGTCCACCCTGCCCGGCCACTGACTGAGCCCTCAACATCACCCCCACATGACACCACAGTGACCCTGACCCCAGCTCCTTCCCAGCATGCCCCGCCCCCCGCCTGCCTCGGGGCCTTTGCACCTGCCAGTGCCCCGCCTGCAAGCTCCGCACCCTCACCCGCAAACGGGACCCAACGCTCACCCCCACGTGCCTCCACCTGTGTCCTTCATGCTCACATATCACCGCCGGGCCTGGGGCCTGTTTGTCCCCTTCTGCGCCGTCCACCCCCAAGACCACGAGCCCCCAGAGGAGGGCTGTGGGGTGCCACCCCCGCCACACCCCACGCCGGGGACGGGGTCTGGCGCACAGCAGGTACTCAGCCCGCACCTGCTCAGGTGCACCTCCATCGAGTCCCAGCTCCCTCCTCCGTCCCTCCCACGCTGGCCCTTCCTCTGCGCCCCGCCCTCCTCTCTTCGGGGTACAGCCTGGCTCACACCAGCCCCCGCCAGGACGCTGGACCCGAAGCACAGTCTGAACGCAGCCCCGAGTCCCGCAGCGGCTCCCAGCAGGACCCCGGGAGCCGCAGCCCTCGTTTGGCCTGGGGCCTCCCGGGATGGGAGACGCCAGCGCCCCAGGGCCCAAGGCCGCCTCAAGCCTCCCCAGTCCGTACACCCGGTGCCACCCCCAGGACCCTGCACGCCCACCACCCACTCTGCCCAACTGCAGACTCGCCTGCCAGCTCAGAAGGGCGTCCAGGCCCGCCCAGCCCCCAGGGAAGCCCTTTAACAGATGTAGCCGTGCCTCCCTGCTGGGACCTGAGGGCATCCCTTGTGTGGTGACTGAGACCCTGGGCCCCCACCTCAGGAAGCTTTCGATCTCAGGGGGACACAGGCGAACCCTGGCTGGCAGAGCGAGTGCCTGGCTGGCCCGACTGTCCCTCAGGCACAGAGCTCACTTGCCCCCGGCCCACACCCCGAAGCCCCGTGAGTCCCAGGGCCTCGCTGCCCGGCTCGGCCGAGAGAAACCAGGGCAGGTGAGGTCCCCCAAGGAGGGAGGTGCCCACCCCACCCCACCCCTGCCCCCAGGCCCCCTGGGTGTGGAGGCAGCCGCACAAAGAAGCCACACTGCCTACAACGCGGTCCAGGCTGCTTCCGGGCCTCAGTTCCCCCATCGACACAGCCGGAGCCACGGCCCGCGGCCACTGCCTCTCAGGCCAGTGGACATCGGGCAGGGACTCAGGGGTCAGTGTTCCACCTCGTGCCCTCTCCTCCTGAGAAGATGGGCAGAACCCGCCCGCCCACGGCCCGTGGGGGTACTTCAACCACTCTCCGTCGGGCCACAGGAAGCCGTCCGGGGACAGATGCCACAGATGCTACGTACGGGGAAACAGGGGCTCGGGCTCCACGCTTCCCAAGGGTGACTGAACCTCGCATGGTCAAACCACGGAGGTCACGAGGCCAAGGCCCAGGGGTGGGGGCGGGGAGCACGACACGCATGGTCTCATCTCTCTCTGACCACCCCCGCCCCGAGGGACATTTGCGATGACACCCAGGGTCTGCCAGGTGATCCAGGACAATCCCCCAGATCCAGATCCTTCTCTTAGCCACACCTGCGAAGCCCCCTTTTCCACACACACTCACACTCAGATCCAAAGGTCAGGACACCAACATCAGGGCTGACCCGCAGTCCCCACGTCAATAAAACCGGCCTCAGCTCTGAGTCACGTGCCCTGTGCCCCGCACCACTGTCCCCAAGCCTGCGGCGACCCGCAGCCAGGAAGGTGAGGGCCGGGAGGGGAGGGGGCCGGCCCGGGCCAGGCCTGGACCCAGGTCTTTGGGCCCCACTGCCCAGCGCTCGCCAGCCTCCACGGCCAGGATGTGCTCGAAAAGTCCTGAATTCCCTGCCGTCTCCTGTCTCCCAAGGCAGACGAAGCAGACGGAGCCCAAAGCGGCGCATCGTGGTGGGCGCTGCATGTGCTGCCAGGCGGCGGCTTGGCCGTGCTCTGGGGCCTAGGAGGCCGCCGTCACTCTCCTACAAGGCCTGTCCCTGTATGACTCTTGCTGCCAGGGTGGCAACCGGCCGTTCGCTGTCGCTGTTAGGATGACCCCGGACAGAAAGCAGAGCGAGGGCGTGTTAGAACCGCGTGCCAGGCCAGGGCACAGAGACCCCGGGCGAGGCCTGGGGAGCGTCCTGAATGGGCTGCAGGTACCACGGCTGCCGGGAGACCTCTTCTGCTCGCTGCCCTGTGTCTGGCTGCGCTCAGGGGGCCGGGGGAAGGGTGACTGAGCCTTGCCAAGGAGGAAGGTTCTGGCCAGAGCAGCCCTGCCTGGGGCTGTGGACAGGCCTGCATGGAGGGTGACAGCAGGGCGGGTGCCCTCACCCCGAGCTCCGCTCAGAGGTGCACGGAGACCCCCCGCTCTGTGCGCCCAGAGGCTGAGGCTCTGGGTCAGAGCGCGGGGCCCCTGCCCGGGAGCTCCTCCCCGGGGACCCGGCTGGAGACTACTTTCCCTGGAGATCAGGGGGTTTGGCGTTCACGATCTCTCCACACTTTGCTAGTCTCAGCCTTGCTGCATTCTGAAGGCTAAACAGCTCTTCAACTATTCGCACACGTCGTGCTAGTTTCAGAAAGAATCCCTTAACAAAGGCGATTCTTGTCCCCTCCAACCTGTCCTGCGTGAGGCCCAGAGCCTCAACGATGCCAAGATAGGGTCCCTGCCCTTCGGGGGCCCGCAGCAGCCTGAGGCGCCTGACACCCCCCTCCTGCCTCTGCGGGGCTGGCCACCACCTGTCCATCCCAGCTCACCTCCCAAGGCCCCAAAACCAGGCAGCCACAGACCCCCAGGAGCTGGGAGACAGAGGTCCAGGGAAAGAAGGAAGCCACCCTGTTCTTTGGATGGGGCGTGGGGAGCAGGGCTGCGGGGGAGAAGAAGCCCCTTCGGCCCCCAGTGCTGCTGGATCCAACTTCCCAGGAGGGCATGTGAGTGCCCGAGGGAGGTGGCTACAGCCAGGGGGAGGCAGCTCCGGCCCGAGGACAATGGCCTGCTTGTGCCCTGACGGCTGATCCGCCCCGGGCACTGCGGCCGCCAGCCCCCGCCCCGAGGGACGTCCGGAACGTTATCGGACATCATTTCAGGATCTGTGGCAGCAGGTGCCCTGGAAACACCGAAGAATGCAGGAGCCGTGCCAGGGCCGCGGGCCGCAGCTCAGCGGGAGGGTGCTCCAGGCGCAGGAGGCGGGCTGCAGACTGCACCCCCTCCAACCCCCGCAATGGGCTGGGACCCCCAGTACCTGGGACTGGCGGGCTCACCCAGGCCGGCGCCCCGCAGAGGCAGGGCGTGGGCCGGACCCTCGGGGAACCTACGTGAGTCTAACCGTGACGGTCTCTCCAGCCCACAGGGAAGCCTCTTTCAACACCGGGATGTTTCCCAATGACGTTGAAAATGTGGACAAGAAGCACACACTTCACGTGCAAAGGGCATGTGGCCTGTTCAAGGCGCCCTCAGAACCCAGACGTGCAAGACCTCAGCCTTCGGGCTCCCTGGGCTCTGAGCTGAGATTCCGGGACACTGAAATGCGGCGCTGGGACGAATCAGAGAACGGAAGATGTGCCGTTATCTGTGTGCTCAAATTATTCAAGGTATAAAAATTACGTACTTTGAAAAGTTCTGTCGGTCCAGCACGATTCTGCCCCTAC